ACACACACACACACACACACACACACACACACACACACACACACACACTCTGACTCATTTATATTTACATGCTTTATTCTTATTAAACTACTATAAAACTAAATGTAAAATCTTGTTAATGTACGCACTAGAAGAAGACTTGAAGGTCTAATTTGTTTTAACATGTACTATTTTATTTATTTGGTTATTTATTTTATTCAATCTTATTTTATCTTATTTTACTTTGCTTATGCTATTTGAATATGTACAGCAATTTGTAAACCCTGGTTTTAAGTTAAAGTACTTTATAAATAAAAAGCTGGTATGGTATGGAAGGTGCATCTTGCTTTGAGTCATTTTCATTTTTGTAACCTTTGGATTCATGTTTGATTGACTTCATTTTCAGGTTTAGTGTCTGGTTACTTTAAATTGAATATAGTTATTTTTCTAATTAATGGCCAGAGGACATTCAGTAACCCTAAAAACGTTACTGCTGTTTAGTTTTCTGTCTTCATTTACGTGTGAAGTGATAGGAGAGCTGTACGTTTTCATTTTTCAAATCCCCTCAGTCAGAACATGGTATATTATATTTAAACGGAAACTAACTCCGTGCTAACTTCTAACCCTGTTAAACTTCATAATTCCTGTTTTCATAAGAGCTTCAGTGTTAAACTTAATTGTTACACCTGGTAGAGCAGCTACATCGATCATTTTATGAAAGATTTTGTAAGTTTGTAACTCTCAGTGATGACGCAAGGCTAGTTTGACATTGAGAACTGAAGAGGAGTTTCGACCCAGAAACAGCTATTGATGTCAGATTTAAAGGGCAGATGGGTTTGGAACTGAATATATAAACCAAGGAGAGATAGCGTTTACTGCACTTTAAACAAATATGAATTATATAAATCAGTAGATCTGTTACGCTAGGCTTAAAAAAAGTACCATTACACATTAAGAAGCAGGGGTTTCCCCGGGGATTTGGGGCCCTGTGGAAAAAACCCCCATGACAAAACAAAAACACTTTAATGGGGGACATAAAATGCTACCTTCAAAACCCATCTGTCCAAGATGGCCCACTCTATATAACTTCTCCATGGTCTTAAACTTTATTTTATTAATTCCTGTTTTTATGCCCGTCTTATTTCCTTTGTACAGCATCCTTGAGTGTTTTGAAAGGCGCTTTTAAATAAAATGTATTATTATTATTATTATTATTATTGTTATTATTGTTATTATTGTTATTATTATTATTATTGTTATTGTTATTGTTATTATTATTATTATTATTATTATTATTATATGTTGGAGAGTCAAATTCCAGGACGCTAATTCAAGCTATATCCTCCTTATTAAACAATGATTAAGCTTAAAGTGGTGCATATTAGGGTAGGAAATACTGAAATCCTGTTTTCAATTGTCTTCTTTCATTTGTTTTTTTCTTTTCCTTTTTGAAACCAAAGATCTTTGATTTTATTTTAAAAGAAGTGGTTTTAATTCCTGAATATTGATTTTAATTTGTGCGTTTTATTACAGATGACCCTTGGTACAGTGAAAAAAGAAGCCCATTTATTAAGTTTGATTTTGTCATATTTGTTTTTACCTCAATCATTCATAACTCTGGTTTTGCACACTAAGGTTACATGACTTTCTAACTGATACTGCCAAACTAATGCTGGACATCACCAGAAATTACTATTGCAGTCTTACTAAGAGAAAACTTGATGTTTACAGAATTAAAATGTGTGTATTATTATTTATGCTAACTGAGTTCTTTGTTTTCAATGGCATCCAACATGATCACACACACCTGTCTATACGCCAAAGGAGGGTAATTGTATTGCAAGGTCCATTTCATTTAATGCTACAGAGGTAGGTGACGTGCAGCCACCATGGTATAAGGTGAGTTGTTTGAAACCTTTCAATCTTATTTTTCAACACCGCAGTCAGTTTCTCCTTCTTTCTTTCCATTAACATCAACACATTGTATTAATTGGTGTGCCTCCATTTTTCTTTAAAACGTTACACAAATTCAAACGTTGAACTGCACCTAATATGCCACACAGCTTCATTCTAACATCAACTTAATGACTTTCAATAAACCTTGGCCACACACACTCACACATACTATGAACAGGAGAAATGTATACCCCACTGCCTATTATAACTAAACTAGCTAACTCAACCTAGTCTTCTGTGCATACTAGCGGTGGGTATTTATGTGCCTCTATACTGTCAGCCATGAAGAAGACCATAATGTCTTAAACATGAACTGCAGCGGTACTCCCAAGCCAATGGCTTCAACTGCCTGATGCTAAACTAGAAAGTAATTCATGGGCCAAATTTTTGGCCCATTTTGAGCCGATTTTTCAGTCGTGCGACTGTTTTGGTGATCGGCCCGATTTTGGCCTTCATCGTGCGTCGTGCATTGTGTAGTATAAATGGGGTAACGAGAAGCGATTAACACCTCACGACCAGCTCCCGATCATCAATCGCTTGGTCGGGAGGATTTCAAATCTGTTTGTATAGTTGGATCTACATTGCTGCTCAATCACAGCTGCCTGATCAATGTTTTTCATTAGCAATTTAGCAAAGTTGATGGTGGTGTGTGTCTGTGTGAGTGAAAGACAGAGAGGGAGAGCGAGCGACAGAATTTCTGTTATAACCTTCATTTTATGGACGCACAGTGTGAGCACTCAGGTCGCATCAGAGCATCGGGCCGTATAGTGTGAGACCCTGCATCGTGACCTACGAACTTCTAACCCCTGCGAGTCAATCGTACAGTTTGAGCAGGGGCTGAATCGCGCGCCTGAAAAAAAAATTGCACAGTGTCTGCCCAGCATAATGCAGCTATACTGCTAACAGGGGAATAAATAACGCCCGAAAGAAATCTGTTGTGTGAAGCCACAGGCTTAATCTACAGGCTGCATGGACAACGGCAACAGAAAACCATGATCACCAATGAAACTTGATCTATATATAAATAATCCAATAAAACGAACAAACTTTTCTGTTCACAAATTGTTGCAGCTCTTCCAACCACGGCCGCGGCAGGCTAAACATGAGGACACTGACGATGAACAACAATCAATGCATGAAATGCACGTCTGAGCTGTTTGTTCCTTTTATTCCACATTGTATTGTCGAAGACCCACAAACCAGTAATATAAATGCACAGACTGCACAAACAAACACACTCACAAAATACTACACCAATTGTTATGCCAAACTGCAACATCAGACTACAGCATCAACTAGTGCATTAAACTATACATCGAGCTGTGGTCAAAGGAAAGTTTCCCCTCATGCTCACCCTACCTTTCTACTCATCAAACAGCAGGTGCGGTGAACTGGTGAGTACAACCACATTTATCATCTAATACAGGGGTGTCAAACTCCAGGCCTCAAGGGCCGGTGTCCTGCAGATTTTAGATATCACCCTGGGTCAACACACCTGAATCAAATTATTAGTTCATTACCCGACTTGTGGAGAGGTACAAGACATGTTGAGGAAGTAATTTAGCCATTTGAATCAGCTGTGTTGGATCAAGGACACATCTAAAACCTGTAGGACACCGGCCCTCAAGGCCTGGAGTTTGACGCCCCTCATCTAATACACACTCATTAGTCACGCCCCACAACCGTGCAGCAATACAGTGCATGTATTTTAACCAGCCCTCTGAATCCAAAAAAGGAGAAGCTCATATATGGCTCCTACACCCCCTTCTTTGAGAAATTTGAGGGTGATGGTCTCCCTGGACTGGTGATGGCACCAGATGATACAGCACTTTAAGCCTGTCTCTGGTAGATGAAACAGGGCCGTAAATTTCTTGGGTTAGAGAAGCTCCCACTGCATGCAGGCCTTAACTGGGGGCAAAATGTGGTAGCCATGGGAATGTTGCCTGCAAAAAGGTCATCTGTATGTAAGGAGATGTCTAGAGAGGTTTTGACCAACCATATTAACATTCTCACCCAAAAGTTGATTTTGCTCATCTAGACGTAGCGTTTTCGGACCCACGGTTTTCAGTGGGACTGAAAACTTTCAGGGATTTACTTTCCTGGATGATCGAGCATGCATCAAGAAATGTTAACATTCTGTTTCTGTGACACACAGTACAAGTGTATACTGCCTGGGTGTGGAGCTCTTTGCTCGTTTAAGGCTTCTGAGTGGGCAAATAGACACAGCAGCCATTTTTAACTTGAACCTATGTAAATTCTGCATGTGTCATGCAACAAAACAATAAAGAACTAGTTAAGCCACCAAACTGACTTCAAGCAAACTCTCTTTAAGACAGTTTTTTATGTGGCCAAGATGGGCCCCCTAGGGACTAAAACCCTCCCTGGAGCCTACCCAGACTGAGCATGGGGCCTTAGCCACCTCTGACGCCCTGACATTTTGAAGTTGGTTCATTCCGTTCAGCCGTCTCAGCCTCCTGTCTTTGGTGAGCTGACCCAGCCTCCTTAGCCTTCTACAGCTCTACGACGGGAATAACGTGTTTGCAGCCTTTGGTGTAGGCACTGAGAAGTAGCACCCTTCGTTGCAGCAGGCAGACATCACAGCACCCCATTCCCATGCCATATGCAGCCCCACCCCCTTTCCCCCCAAAAAAACCAAGTCCTAAAGATAGTGTATAAAGTGGGTTTTTTAAATCTTGTAATACAGACAATAATGCAGGCAAAATGAAAATAAAATCCTTTTCAGCAAATAGATAATTTAACACTTACACTTACAGAACCTAAAGTTTCAGGACAGAGGAAAATGACATCAACAAAAGGCAGTCGCTGTGAAAAACACAGCTGAATTTTAAGTATTCGAACACAAAACAAAAATCTACAATCAAATTATAAAGAAATCCAGAGTTTAGTTCCACTTTTCCAGTGGCAACAGTTCATTGGTCTTGAACGGGCAAAATTATATAATTTGATTATAATTCACTTTGTTTTAAACCATTAGATAATTACTAAGCCATGCCTCAAATATTTTGTTTTATCTTTTCATGTGACAACACTGAAGAAATGACACACCCTTGACACCATCTGAACCAAATATGTTTATCTTGGTCTCATCAGACCACAGGTAATCCATGTCCTTAGTCTGCTTGTGTTCAGCAAACTGTTTGCGTGTTTTCTTGTGCATTATCTTTGGAAGAGGCGTCCTTCTGGGACGACATTTGATGCAGTGTGTGGTCTAAGCACTGACCCTCCACGCAGCCCCCAGCGATTTTCAAAAGACAACCTCTGGATATGACGCTGAGCATGTGCGTTCAACTTCTTTGGTCGATCATGGCGAGGCTTGTTTTGAGTGGAACCTGTCCTGTTAAACTACTGTATTGTCTTGGCCACCATGCTGCAGCTCAGTTTCATGGTATGGGCAATATTATTATAGATATACATGGGGCGACCGTGGCTCAGGGGGTTGGGAAGCGTATCTGTAACCGGAAGGTTCGATCCCCAGTGTGTCAATGCGAGAGTGAATGAATAGTGGCATTGTAAAGCGCTTTGGGTGCCTTGAAAAGCGCTATATAAATGCAATCCATTATTATCATTACAGCCTAGGCCATCTTTATGTAGAGTAAAAATTCTTTTTTTCAGATCCTCAGAGAATTCTTTGCCATGATGTGCCACATTAAACTTTCAGTGACCAGTATGAGAGAGTGTGAGAGCAGTAAGACCAAATTAAGCATACCTGTTCCCTATTTGCATCTGAAACCTTGCAAAACTAACGAGTCACATGACACCAGGAAGGGAAATGGCTAATTGGGCACAATTTAGACATTTTCACATAGGGGTGTACTCACTTTTGTTGCCATTTCTTTAGGCAATAATGGCTGTTTGTCGAGTTATTTAGAGGGGACAGCAAATTTCCACTGTTATACAAGCTGTACACTGACTACTTTGTGTCACATCTTTAATGTTGTCCCATGAAAAGATATAACAAAATATTGACAAAGATTTGAGGGGTGTACTCACTTTTTTGAGATACTGTATATGTATTATGACAAAATAAAGAAGCACAAACGCTTCCATAAATAAAATTACAGACACACTGCAAACCAGACTGATAATGTCTATGATCGTGTGAATCTGGGACCCTTGCAGTGTTGTACTTGGTCTCACATATTTGAGGATGAACCTCTTGGTGACAGTGTATCAGGGCTCTGGCATCTAAATACTCTCTTCTGTTGATCTCCTTGTTCACACGTGCCAGTCACGTTATCATCCATCTCCTGTGAAAAATCACAAACATGCTACATCATGAATTGTAGGAAACTCTTAGTACAAAGTTTTCCATCAACACCACATTTGAAAAAAAAAAAAAACATACAAATTTGCACAGAGATATAATGCTATCATCATTTTTCTTATAAGGGGGACTTTTTTTCTGGAGAGAAATAAGGTGTTTATTGATTTGCTGTGACATTATAATTTTGTCAGTAACAACATGACAGTTATGAATAAAGTATGCATCACAAACTACTCTTAAGATTCCCTGAATTATAGACCTTAGATAGATATTTGTAAACTCAGACATCATTTATTAATCCTATACAGTTCACTTTGGTAAATGAAAGGAACAACCAAGTAATTCATTGTACATCAGCATAAATGTTACTGACAACAGAATACATGAAGCAATGAGAGTCTACCTGAAGAAAGGCGGGCTCTGTGTCTGGCTGTCCATCACAGTCTTCACCGCCTGGAAACAGAAAGAACGTTGTGAACTTACACCTCTAATATGAGAATGGTAAAAATAAAAGTTGGACATTTCAGAAAAGAATTACAAACACATATACTAATGTCTCTTCTACCATACCCAAGGAAATCTTGATCTTCTCTTACTTATTTTTGGTTGCCATAAGAGAATCATAAGCTAATCTAGCTCACTTTGGGCCTTCTGGGCTCTTCCCTAAACTCCGCCGAGCACCAGTTCTGTTTAGTGATTTTGTTTTGTTGATAATGATCTTTTATTCAAGTTACATGTCTCGTGTGGACTCCTTCCTTGTCATTTAACTTGAGCCAGCTCATGAACATGGGAGCATATCCAGAATCTCCAAAACCATCGCTAATGTTAGAGCTTCAATAATTGCTGATAGCTAACTTACCTTGTGGTTTGAGTGCCACCGCTTTGCTTGAGTGCATCGGCTACTTTAATTACTTTTGGTTAGTTTTGTTTTAGGGTTGGAGGAGAGGAGCATCGATAACCATTTTATATGCCCTGCAAACCTATACACTTTAGTATACATGTCTGATTGTGTTCGCACACTCACTTTTGAGTTTACATGAGCCATGCATTCCTCAACCAGTTTAGACACAAACATTTGGTGACTCATGGGATCATCATTAAACTGACACACTGTAGACACACACAGTCGTGGTTATCCATGGACCCTTGTAAAGAGTACAAACCCTGAATTTTAAATTCAAATCTACTTGTGTATGGAAGTGGCCCGCGTACCTCGTGGTGTAGTGTTTCACAGTCTTTGCCAGTTTTGCGTCCAGCTTTTGCAGCACATCATACAGCTCATCAACATGTGTGTCTGATATCAACTCTTTCTTTTCCATTTCAGCAAACACATCCAGCGCTGTCTGGAATCAACAGAGAAGATGTTTTCAGTTCACAGAGGCTCTGAACACACCGTGTAAAAATAGTAATCACTTCAGGTGTAATAGAAAGTCATCTGTAATAGAGAAGTATGTGTGATAAAGACTGGACATTAGACTGGTGACTGCTCATTCTATGTTCATTAACCCTTTCATGGATAGTAGTCACTACAGTGGACAGCTAGTCAAAGGTTGTTTTCCTGTATTTGTGTCAGTGTTGATGGTATACTTGAACATAAACCACAACATTGGACACTGATGTGTCACTCCATACATACCCTGCTACCCACTGGTCCACCTAAGTGGACCAGTGGGTACATAAAGTAAGTAAAGACCACCTAAGTACATAAAGTAAAGTACATGCTTTTTTTATGCCTAAAGATGAATAAAAATACTTAAGAAAAAAAATCCTGATTGAGATTGTCATAATTCATGCATGAAAGGGTTTAAGCTTCATGCAGACGGTTTCATGCCATCATGATGTTGGTGTTTTAAAACCAGGCGTGATGCGTGAGGGGCGGATCTGACGCAGAAACCAGTGGGCTCTGACAGATCAAAACCCCATCAGTCAGAGTGCAGATTCGCCCTTAAGCGTCATAATTTAAAAAGGTGACCTCATGTTGTCATTAGTACGACTCGAAAATAGCGATTGAGACCATAAACTCATCAGGAAAGTGTTTACTTCAGTCACAGATGACACAAGAGAGTTGGATGGTCATTACAACCCGACTTCTATTTGCTGGACTGATTTCACAGGCGTGTGAGCTAGCTTTACTTTTTAGATACGAGCAAAAACAAGATGTGGAGCTAGGATTTTGTCATTTGTGGTTGTGTTGAGTTGAATTTTAAACACTTAAAGGTGTGTGGGTGTGTTCTCACTTTACAGTGATCAAGGTGTCGTTTGCCCAGCTTTGACTTCAGTAGAAGCTTCATGCTTTCAAGACCATCTACAGTCATGTCATCATATATTTTGTACAGCATTATTCTAAGAGTCATAGCAAAAGAGTCAAAGAGGGAAAAAATGAGAATGAGAAACAAAGAAAAAAAAAACAGTCGTCAAATTTTGAGTGAGTATTTCAGTACTGCTGTATTAATAAGCTGTACTATTAAAGTGAGACTGTCCTTACCTGAAGTTTGACAGGACACGTCTAGCATCTGTTTCCTCTAGATTTCCACTGCCTGCCTTTAAGCGTATGATGAGGTCTTCTCGATGGATAGTGCGGAGCAGCTCCTTGAGGAATGTATTGTTCTCCAGTAGACCTTTTTCACTTAACCTTGAGAACAGCTCTTTGGCCTGCCTGATCTGTAGGATAAAGTATTTTATTATTCTTTTTAAAAAGGTTCCCACAAATGCCAAAGAAACTAGAGTAAATAGCATAACACATGTGGTACTCACCTCCTCCAGATGTTTCCTACTGACAACATCACTACACAAGAAGCAAAGAGCAGCCACCTCAGAAGATTCCAGTTCGTTGTTTATGTCCAACAAAGTCCGATCATTTATCGTGGACCTGCTCCTATCGGAACAGGGCTGGAAGGAATGAACAGAACAGATAATGTATAAAAGAGCATAACAAAAGGCTTTGAGATGATCTTGTCTTTCAATATTCTGTGACTAAATTATCTATTATTCTTCTGAAATAAGCACCGTCACATGTTGCGCTCCTTTTCCTTTCCCGTCGTCGAACATCGTTTTCCCTTTGGCTGGAGTTATTTTTACTTTTGACTCGACGCCTGAAGGAATCACAGTGAAACAGAGTTACAGATCACAGTTAGCAACCATCTGCTCTCAGACACAGGATTTACATGTTTGTAATTACCATTGTGAGGTGGAGAAATTTCAACCGGCCTGGATACACAGAGGGCCTCATTCAAGTCCTTCAGCTGAGGGAAAGTACTTTTAATGTCTTCATCAGTCTGCAGGAGGTTCAGGAAAGCTCCGCACGTATCGTCTCCTTTATTCATGATCTTATCCACGAGCTCAATAACGTGTCCCTCCGCATCTTCCCTGTAGATACTTTTAAGACTGTTGTATTCCCGTTGATTGATCAGCTCCTTCTCATAAACTTTGTTGAGGATCAGCCTGTAGTCTCCGGACAGAATCGTTTGAATGGCTGTTTTGTTTCTCCTCACGGTGGCTTTGGCAGACATGATGAGTCTACATTACAGAGGTTTACACAGCGTAACTCTTGAAATTATAGCAGCACAATATAATTTAGTGTTATTGTTTATTACACACAAACGCCGTCTTCCTGTTATCTCGGACGCTCCCGGAACTTAGGACACTTTCGCTTTCAAAACTCAGAGAGAAACTAAGTCCCATGAAGACGTGGGTGCCACTGTGTAGTGTCCATAGACTGCTTCTGCTCAGGTGTTATCATGATGTCATCCCACACGCAAGTTTCGTGTCGGTTTAGACTTCAACAAGTGACGCGGGAGAAGAGTGCTGGTGGTTTCTCTGGTGGCAGCAGCCGTCACTGCGCTCTTTGCTGCCCCACCAGGAGCAACGAGGTAACAGCCTGGAGAGAGCAATCTGTCAGACAGTTGAGTGTATGATGAGGTGTATGATTGATATGACCCACAAGCCTAAACTCAAATGTACAAATGGGATTTGTGTGTAACGCAAATATGATCTCAAATATGATTTTTGTTTTGTTTCACTTTCAAAGAGCCTCATGAGCATACTAATGTCTACAAGTCAAAAATGGAGTATTGGAACACGCCCCATCTGTAGGAGAGAAAGGCTCATGCTGCTGAGGAACACAGGCAGTACTCTGATCAGCAAATTTCATTAAATATATTTATTTCTAAGTGTAGTGGGTTAGATTTGGTGGATGTTGGGTCATACACGGTGTCTGTGAATGCAGCATGAACATTCACTCCTCCCTTAGCTGTTAATCAGAGGTTAGTTATGAGGAACACTCTTGTGCTCTGGCAACTTGCACTCTTTCCTGTTCAAGGTGGCAAAGATCACAGGCTGTTAAGTGTTGCAGACCAGATTCTAGTGATGGCCAAATGACGCTTTCTGAAGCATTGAAGCTTGTATTGAAAAACGGTTCATTACTCGAAGCTTTTCAACACAGTCCTCTCTGGTGACATCTGGTGTCCAAAAATATGAAGAGCAGCTTGAATCCACAAACTAAAACCAACTGCTTCGTAATGATTGCTCACTCTACAGAGTGGAATTCTGTCTGATATTGGGCCACCGTTGTGTTGCTTTAAACGTGTATTTTTTGGGGTGACAAAAATGTTGTTTATTTGTTTAATAAATAATTTTGACCAGTAAACTCTCCTTGTTTAAAATTAATCTGACCTAATAGCTTTGCATAATACATTTAGATGATAACTCATCATTCATAGAAGCATGTTTTTCTGAGAACATGCCTGTTTTTTGTGAACTCGCTAGCCAATCCAAGAGGAACTGTAAGCATGACACTGACAGTACAGTAGACCCAAAAATGTTTATCAGGAAACCAAGACGTAGTCATGGGGAGGGCAAGTAAGTACTCGGAGTTGATAGGTGTCTTGAAATGGAGCTGCAGTACCTGCCAGAGTCTGAAGTTTGATCAGATTAATGACTTTGCAGAATAAAAACAAAAATCCTCAGTTCATACTAAATGCATGTCTGTGTCAATATGATATAAAGGCAACATTGCAAAACAACATTTTGCTTAAAAATAAATACATATTGAATGAAATCTGCTGATCAGAGTACTGCCTATGTTCATCAGGAATAAGGTACACATGAGCCTTTCTCTCCAATAGATGGGGCATGTTCCAATACTCCATTTTTGATTGAATCCTAAGGGTCCAGAAGCACAATTTTGTTAGTTTTTACACATTTTTTTGTCTCTTTCATTGTCCTCATCATCGTCATCCCGTTTTCTCTTCTTCTGTCCTGCTTCTGTGTCAGCTGATGTAGAGGGTGATGACACTATGTCTTCATTTTCATTGTCCTCACTTTCAGAGGTGGTGTCTGACAGTTTGTTGCCTGTGTTGAGGAACCTCAATCTCTTCCTGTTCCTCTCGTTACTGTCGCCATTATTATTTTCCTCTGTTTGGCGCCTCCTGGAGCCAAAGACACCACTTTCATCAGCTTCCTCTCTTGGAGGGCTCCTGGATCTTTGAGGTTCTGGGATGATAGGTATTAACTCTGGGACATCGTCATCAGATTCGCTTCCAAGGTCGCTTTCATTTTCACTGCCAGAATCAATGTCATTTTTCCCAGACCCACCACATGTCATCAGCAAACTGATCTTCTTCTTCCCAGGGCAGATTAATGTCCATGTTTACTGCTGGTAGATGAAGACCTTGATGGTCCCAGGGATCTTCAGCTAAACCAGCCAGGTTGTTTTCCACGTCAGCTGCTGGAACAGGTAGCGCTTCATTGTCCCAGGGACCTCCTGCTCCTACTGCTGGATTTAATCCTATGCCAGCTGCTCTCATAGCTAGGTCCACTCGTGCAATATCGTCAATATTCCCAAGTCATAGAGTATTATAAAAAATTTCAATCACAGTTTCCAGGCTGAATTCATTGAACAGACCACGCATTATAGTATCCCGGAGCAAACTCATCTCTGGACCTACTGCATCGTAATGTTCAAAGCCCTCCACTAAATGAAGCAGCGGGCGAAATCTTGGCTGCACATCTAGAAACAGAGAAATATTTTATAGTTAACACTCATGATGAGAGAACAGTCCACAAATTCCAGTTTGTGCTATATTACATCCAATATAGGTGCACCTGAAAACTAAGTGCTAAAAACTACATAGGTGAGGTTACTATTGTATGCACTGCAGTTGTGATGAACTTATTTGAATAGCTTTGAATATCAGCGTGTAATGTTTTCCTCAGGCCACAGTCACTATTATAAAATACTACAAAACTGCTTAATTTTCATAAAGATTGTAAGGTCATTTCTTTCATTTTACAAAGCAATTCAATCTTAAAATTAAGCTGAAAATAGTTTGCAGCACCAGCATTTAAATAAGCCCGTGAAACATCCCTGTTTGGACAAAAACATGTATATTCTCCAATCCCTCATTGCCGGTCACAAAATAGATGATGTACTGGGAAAAACACTGTAGGAAACTGAGGTATATAGAATGTGTGACCGAGGCCTTTACGAGCATGTGTTGTAACAAAATGTCAGATAATACATCAGAAAATTGAAATGAGATGTTCTTACTTTGGTTAGGGCCGTTGATCTCACCGTCTCCGCTATCCATTTTAAATATGGTTAAAATCCACTGGACTGGAGGAAAGTGATCAGTAAGCTGCAAACTTAAACTGGCTGTTTACAATTTTGACTTTTGTTAAAATAGCTGAAAAGTTTAAAAACGTTGTCTGCTGTAGCTGTTAACACGTGAAGAGACTGTAATCTGTGCTGCAAGAAACGTTGCTAAATGGTTTTTTACAGAAAAGTTGTCATGGATACACTGGGTTCTCACGATGATTCGTGAAGTCATACTGGACGTCAGATTCAAATGTGACGTCAGTGCTTTGAACGTGGACTTTTAACCCTTGTGTGGTGTTCATATTTTTGTTACTCAGCCAGTGTTCATGGGTCTGGTGGACCCGCTAGAGTTTTGGCTTTCCAAATTAACACTATCAAACAATTTTATGTTAAATTACTCAACAGAT